AGGACCGTGGTGTTAGCCTTGCTGAAAGCAAGCTCTCTGGGAGAGCAGTGTCCCCAATGAGGCACCTGCCTGCTCCTGGAGCCAGATTCTGCCCCGATCCTGTTTCACAAGGTGGCCCATGGCAGTGGGGAGGGTGGAGCCTGTTAAACCTGTTTCACCACTGCAGGCATGGTAGAATATCTCCACTGCTGCCCTTAGCTGGGTTACGCTAATGGTGTGGCTCAAGAGCAGCATGCGTGGCTGCCAAGAGGGGCTCAATCCCTTGGTGGCAGGGAGAGAGATCTGTGCTGCTGATGGGGCAGCACCTGGGCTGCAGAGAACTGTCATGAGCTGGTGGAAGGTATTTCTGCCTCCCTGATTTGTAGCACTCTGCTGGTGTTTGATTCTTAGTATCTTTTGTATTTTATTTCCCCAGCTCTGAAAGCTATCTTGGCTAATGAGGAAGGGCACCAAGACAAGAATTGTAAGCACGGCATCCATGAGGCAGGCAGGATTGCCTCTCCTCTGGAGAGGAGATGGAAGCCTGTTTGTGCCATCCTGCTGCCCTGTGACCTGCAGCCAGGTGGGGCAATCTTCAGGCAATGAGGTCCTTGAGAGAGCTCTGCTGCTTTGCTTCCAGGCCCTTAGGAATAATGTCCTCTGGCCTGAAAGGATCCCACTGAATAGGAAGTTAAAAGGAGCTTTTTGTATGGAGATCAGGTGCTTGGTGTGTCTGCATGTGAAATTACCCTTAAAATGGAGAGGCTGAAATGGCTCTCCAAGTGCTCACTTCTCATCAGAGCTGCACAGAGTCCTGCTGCTCTGTCTGCAGGAGCAGGATGCTTTGGCAGGCACAGTCACTTGCAGGAGTGGCAGAGGGCCAGTGCCACCTTGTGCCTCTCTGTGGCTCCCAAACAGGGCAGTGGGTGCTTGCTTGCCTCTGGGTAAGGGTTTGCAGGGAGTGCCAGCTGCAGCTGCGTGGCCTTAGTTTGTGTCGGCCCCTGGGGCTCTGCTCGTCTTCCCCGTCATGGCTTCATTCTCCTGCCCTCGGCACCCACCCTGTGAGGGTGCCAGAGCTGGGGTCCCAGGGACATGCTGGTTGCGGGGTAGCTGGCAGTGTCCCTATAAGCTGCTTGGCTAATGTGGTTTGAGGTCATTAGCTGAAACTGGATGTGCTGATGCCGTCACACGCTGTGTGAACGTCATGGGGGCAGCACCTTCCCACTGTCCTCAGAAACCCTCTTCTTCACGTCAGCTCTCCCCAGCGGTGCCCGAGGGCTGTGGCTGCATCCTTGAATAACTCTGCTGGCCCCTCTGCAAAGGAGAGCTAAACTTTTTCTGGGAAAACCATGCTAAGTGGCTGACAAAGGTATTTTTTCCTTCGCTCCCTTCCCCCCTGGACCTGCGGGGTTGGGATTGCTGTCATCAGGGCACTTGGAGGCTCGCTGCAGGTGAGGAGCCATTCCTGGCACTGGGAGGAGGATCCCCCCACCAGAGGCACCTTCTCTGGGGCTGGGCAGAGCAACCTTCCCTGAAGGACGTCCTCTTCTTTGGCTCCACTGCATCCAGCTAATAGCTGAGAACCTTGGCTCCGCATCTGGGCTGCCCTGCTTGCTCTTTCACCTCCCGAGCGCTTGCTGCTGGCTGTTCCTGCTGACTCTGCAGTGTTGCAAGAGCTGAAGCTGCTAGTTAAAGTCTGAGTAAACAGGTTGCAAAGCCCTCAGCAGCTCTGGCAAGGGAGGGGTGGTGGAAAGAGCTGCTGCTTGTGGGCAACAGGGTGTTCTATTTGCATAGAGTAAGGTTTCCACTGGAATAAAATGGTGTGGGGAGAGGACGCTTGACAGCAGAGTGGGACCTCTGGTGGGTCTCAGGAAGAGGCTGCAAGCGAGTGGTTTGTGCCATCCTGTCTCTGCAGGCAGAGGAAAACAGGAAAAAATTGCCCCAAGTCATGGAGTTTGTGTGGAGTCCCTGCTGGGGGGATTTGGGAGCCAGAGCAACACTGGGGGAGGGGACCTGGACACCCAGGCAGCACATGTCCCTGAGCAGGGCAAGGGAGAGGATCTTCTTCCGGGTGCGTTTCCCTGAACAAACCCATTCTCTTGCTCTGTGATTTCTCTGTGTCCAGCCACCTGATGAGTGTTGGAGCTGTGCAGCGGCAGGGCAGCCTTCAGGCCAGCTCCCCTCACCTGTCCCCAGTGAGCAGTGACAGAGGTGATAAGGGCACCAGCGTTAAGCCCTGTCCCTGCCACCCTGCACAAACCCTGGGGTGTCCTCTGCTGCAGCTGGGGTCAGTGAGCATGCTGTGGCATGCCAGGGAGGCACCTGGACTGGTGATTGTCCAGGGCATTTCTCTGCTCTCTGGCTCCTGGAGGTGCTGAAGCAGCAACTGGTGCTGGAGGACAGAGGGGGGACAAATATTTATGATTCTTAAAATGTCCAGCACTTCAGGTCTGCAGTGTAGGAGGGAGAGCAGTGGCCTTGGTAGTACCTGGGGCATTCATGTGGCTGTAGTAGCAGCAGAGCTGGTGGCACAGTGGTGTGTAGTAGTGCTGAGAGGTGCCAGCCTGTGCTGGGCTGTTTGGACACTGTTCCACCCAGCTGGAGGATGCTGCTCCTCATGATGCTGCTCGCCAGGGACCTGCCTGGTGCTCCTGCAGGAGCTGTTCAGCTTTGCAGGAGACTTTGCAGTGCTGGCAGGTCCCAGTGCCATGAGATTGGCAGTGTCTTCCATCTCTGATGGACATGTCAAGGATGGGAAAGGTTTGAGGGGGCAGCAGGAGAGCTCTGGGGATGGTGGCTGTCCTCCCGTGGTGCCCCAGGGCGCAGCTGGCTGTAGTGGCATGAGCCAGCCTTGCTGTGGCTGCCAGCAGCTTCCTTCCACGCTGTCCAAGCACAGGGCGCCATGGGGGCGTAAAGGTGGTCACCCATCACTGCCTCCCGGGAAGCGCTTGCCTGGCACAGGCTGAGCGGCTTCATCCTCGCCTGAGAACACAGGGGGAAACAAGGGGCCTTTGTCTGCTCTGGTAGAGCTGGGCTGGCCTTTCATTCTGTCCCTGGTGCCCCATGGAGCTGGGATGCTGCCAGGCTGGGCTGGTGGGCCCTGCCCTTTGGCCAGGTGCTGTCACTGGGTGCTGGTGGCGTTTCCTATCCCTGACGTGCCTGTGGTAGGAGAGGGGATGCTCTTGGGAGTGTGGGGCTGCGCTTTCCCATGGTCCCAGGCTGTGCTGAGTGCTGGCACGGCTTCTTCGGTGCCTTGAAGAGGCCAGAAGCAGCCGGCTGCTCCTTGTGCCTGGGGGAAACAAACCAGGATCAGGCTGTTTTAAGGTGGGAGCTGCCCAGCTGCAAGAGGGAGTACAGTGAGGCTTCTTTCCTTTCCTTCCAGAAGGATGCAGCTGAGAGAAGGCAGCAGTGCCCCAGGGGATGCCAGCCTGCCTGCTGGGACATCCCCACACTGGGCGAGTGGCTTTGCTGGTGACATGCTGCAGGGGGGAGATGGAGGCAGCACCAGAGAGATTAAGGGTCTCTTGTAAATTTGGAGGCCATAGAGAAGAAATAAGACTATGTGAGAAATCACCCTGGTCTGAGGAGCTGGGGTCACTTGCTACTGCCATGGGAAGCAGCCGTGGCTGATCTCCTTGTCCTGTGGACTGTGGTGTCCCCTATCAATGTCCCCTTGCAGGGTACTTTGGAAGGTGCTGATAAGCTGAGCTATGCTCCGCTGTGCAGTGCTGGGGCTGCATTTTGCCACAGAGCAGGATAACCCACTGCTGCAACCAGCCCCTGTGCTGGCCCTTTCCACGATGGCAGGACATCCCTCCTCAGGAACACAGCGTGTCCCCTGGGCTGCAGTGGGGCTGTGCCATTGAGGCTGTGTGCCGGGGTGGCTGTGGCAGGAGCCACAGTGCTGTTGAGTCACACTGAGGACGTGGCTGGACTGGTGGAGGGCAGACCTGTCCCCAACTGTGAGCTTGCATCTAACCATGCCCCCATGCTGAGCCGCGTCCTGTGGGACTGGGACCCAAGTCACCATCCTTGGGCAAGGAGCCAGGAGGCCTTCGGGGGCTGCTCTGGTGGGTGCCCAGCCCCAGTGGCAGCATCCTGGGGCTCCCCAGCGCCCTGTCCCGGGGAGGCCACCAGTTAGGAGCTTTGACCCAGTGCTGACTTTTGGCCTGGCCTGGGCTGCAAGCAGAGTTTGGCCCTGTGAGGCCTGGGGGAGCCTGGCTCAGCCCTGCACTTCCTCCTTGCCCCAGCACAAAGAGCTCCCGCTGCACTTTGATGCAGGAAACTGAGCTGCGTGGCCATCGGCTGGCCAGGGGTGAGCCCAGCTCCTGGGACCTCCAGCCCAGCTGGGGTTGGCCCTGCTGCCCAGGCACAGCTCGTGACAGGACCAGCTGCAGGTGTTTATAGCATGCCATGGGGAGCTGAACCACTCAGAGCTGCTGTTGCTTGCTGCCGGTGTGTCCCTGGGCTGTGGTGGGAAAGGCTTCAGCCGGTGTAATCAGTTCCCAGCAGCTGCTGCTGCGTGAGCCCAGGGTGGCTGGACAGGCTTGATGATAATTGCACTTGTGCGCTGGTATGGCCAGGTCTGCAAATGGGCTCCCTCTGGTGCTGGGGGAGCGGTGCTGGGCCTCATGCAGCTCTGTTGGGCTCTGTGGGGTTTACAGATGCATGTGCTGGCAGCTCACGTGCAGGGCTCTGGAGGGCGAGAGGTGCCTTTGAGGGGGAAACAGTACTGAAACAGCAGCCAAAGGTGCGGTGTTTTCCGGCTCCTTTGGCTGATCGTCTCACCGGCTCTTCCCATGGCCAGACAATAATGCCTGTACAGGGTGCCAGGTTGGTGTGGGGTCTTGCTGCCATGTGAAGTCCCCAGGGGTTTGGCAAAGACAGGGACACCGCATCCCAGCCCAGACCTGGCTGCCAGAAGTCTCAGGCTTAGCCATCATGGAGCTGTCAGTTGCCACGCAGCGCTGGATGGGCACGGCACTACTCTCAGTCCCAGCATCCCCTCCTCTCCCACCCAGGTGGCCTGGCTGGAGGAATAGAGATCTGCATCACGTTCCCCACTGAGTATGTGAAGACGCAGCTACAGCTGGACGAGAAGGCAAACCCTCCCCGCTACAAGGGCATCGGTGAGTGCACATCCGGTGCCCTGCCCCAACCTGCAGGTTGGATCTGGATGTTGCATAAGCCTGGCTGGGTGTGGGGCAGGCAGTGGGGTTTGGTGGGGTGGGTGGTGGTGTGACATGGTGGCCCTTGGTGTGGCTGGTGATGGTGGTGCCACTGTGCTTTGCCACAGGGGACTGCGTGAAGCAGACCGTCCGTGACCATGGCATCCGGGGGCTGTACCGGGGGCTCAGCTCGCTGGTGTATGGCTCCATCCCTAAGGCTGCTGTCAGGTAGGTGTCCCTGTGGCACAGGATAAGTGGAGGGGACCTCAGGGGGCAGTGAATGAGGGGGTGGGTTTGGCCTTGATGTCCCCAGTGGCATTTTGCCAAAACTGGGTGCTTTCCTGAACTGGCAGGGTGCTCTTGCAGGGTGCCTGGCTGCTGCTGGGGACAGACCCAGAACTGGCTGCAGCCCCCAAGCCGGGCGCCTGGGGGTTGGCATGGTGGCTCCTCCGCAGGTTCGGGATGTTCGAGTTCCTCAGCAACCAGATGAGAGACGAGCAGGGGCGGCTGGACAGCACGCGCGGCCTCATTTGCGGGCTGGGCGCCGGTGTGGCCGAGGCTGTGGTGGTGGTCTGCCCCATGGAGACCATAAAGGTGGGAGGCAGCCGCCAGCGTCCCCCTGCCCTGGCACCCGTCCCCTGGATGGGGCAGCAGCAAGGGATGCCCAGCTCTTGGGGGGCTTGGGACCACATGGGTTTGCTCAGGCTGGTTTTGTAGGGGAAAAGCTGATGCTGGAAAGCCCCATGGAGAGGTCAGGCCCAGCGGCTGTGGCCCATTCCGTGCTCTGGTTTGTGGGGGGGGGGGGCCCCCCTACACAGGAGCCATCCCATCCCCTATTTTAGTACTGTAAAATCTATGCAGTTGCATGCAGAGGCAATTTGCCAGGTTCTCCTCTGCAAAATGCGCTGCTGGCTGTGGGTTGCAGGCATCCCCTGTGTTCTCACCTGGCGTTGCCTGCCCACATGGGTCAGCTCTGCTCTTGGGACTGTCCCTAGAGCAAGGTGAGAGCCATCTGGCCGCCTTTCAGGGGTGCATCACCCCCTTGCCTCAGCTGGGATGAGTGTGTCATCTCCCCGCAGGTGAAGTTTATCCATGACCAGTGCTCCCCCAAGCCCAAATACCGTGGCTTCTTCCATGGCGTCCGGGAGATTGTTCGGGAACAGGGTGAGTCCAGGGGAAGTGATGTCCTGTCCTGTCTCCCTCCAGTACCCCACACTGAGGGGACAGAGTGGGAGGTGGGGGATGGGTGCAGGCTGGGACCAGCTGCCTGGGGAGGTTTCTCTTTGCCTGGGTGAGGCCGGTGCTCCCCACAAATGCCCTCTCTTGCTGCAGGACTAAAGGGGACCTACCAGGGCTTAACCGCAACTGTCCTCAAGCAAGGATCAAACCAAGCCATCCGCTTCTTCGTCATGACCTCCCTCAAGAACTGGTACAAAGGTATAGTGCCCCCATCCCCCTAGGTCACTCTGGCTGAGCTGCCACTCCCTGAGCCTGTCTTCATGAGCTGGGCTTGGGCTTTCCACCACTGTGTCTTTCATTTCTTGTGGATCAGGCTCTCATGATGAAGGAATAGGAAAGCCAGGGTGGGGGGGGGGCTAGTTTGCAGGGCTGAAGAGTCTCAATGCTAGAACATCACCTCTACTCTTACCCTGAGCTCCTCAGTGCTGCATGCGCTCTGTGGGGCTGGTGCTGCTGGACAGTCCCCTCCAAATGCCCTCAGCCCCTGACTCAGCATAGCACCAGCCCTGACCACGAGCAGCTGGACCTGGGACCTTGCCCGTGGGCTCCCTTGAGGATGCTGTGCTTCATCTTCACACCACCTCTCTGCTCTCAATCTCTCCTCCATCCTAGGGGATGATCCCAACAAGGTGATCAACCCCTTTGTCACGGGGGTGTTTGGAGCCCTCGCCGGAGCTGCAAGTGTCTTTGGCAACACCCCCTTGGACGTGGTGAAGACCAGGATGCAGGTACGGCACTGGGAGATGCCTGTGCCTGCAGCGGGCTAGGTTCACACGCTGTTTGGGAGCTGTTTTGTGCAGCCCCCTGGGGCAGGCACCCAATGCTTGCGAGGTTTGGGAGGTGACACTGCTCTCTTGCAGCCAGGCCCGTGGGGGTGCTGAAAGGTGGGGATGTTCCCTCAGGGTTTGGTGGCCTGCAGTGGTGGAGGGGGATTGGTTTCTCACAGTGTACCGCGAGCTTTCTGCCTCCCCGGCAGAATCCTTCTGGATGCCCCCCCGGCTCCAGCCTTTGACCTTGCTTTTCCTGTCCTGCAGGGGCTGGAAGCTCACAAGTACAAGAGCACCTGGGACTGCGCCTACCAGATCATGAAATATGAAGGGCCCCTGGCGTAAGCACTGTGGTGGGGGTGGGCGAGGGAGGAAGGGGGGACTGACGGGGGAGAGGGCTGCAAGGGCATCCAGTCCCATGGCCTCCTTCTATCCCAGGTTTTACAAGGGCACAGTGCCTCGCCTAGGCCGTGTCTGCCTCGACGTGGCCATTGTCTTCGTCATCTACGATGAGGTGGTCAAGTTCCTCAACAAGGTGTGGAAAACAGACTGAGGGGGCTGGGCCAGGGCACCCCAGCCTCCCTTGCCCCCTGGGGCTGCAGCTGGAAAGCCGTGACCAAGCCCGCAGCTGCCCACTGGTGCTGCCCGGGGCCAAGTCTGCCCCACACGCGTGCCCTCCCCCCAAACCCAGCCACTTTCATGTTTAGGAACAGGCTCTGGAGCAGGCCAAATTATTAGTGTGCCAAAAGGAGGCTGCAGTATTCCAGCACCCAGGCCTCCAGCATCCTGATTATGCCCGCCCCAGTCCCCCGGTGACATTTCCCCCTGGTCCCGCATCACCTGCGAGTGCCAGTTATCCAGGGTGAGGTGTCCCCTGGGAGGGTTGCCTTGTGTCTCGGGGGGCAACTCTTTTGGGGGATGTTGATAGTCCTCCGAAGCCATAGGGATGCAATGGCCAAGTTGTGCACCAGGCATCAAAGCTGGCAGAAGCTTTTGGGGCTGACTGCCGGCTGGGAGCAGTGCACCAGGTCTTGGCAGCGGCTCTGGGGGGGACCATCAGCCTTGCACCCCCTGGTATGGAAGGGCAGCAACTCGCTTTTTTGGCCCCAGGCTCCCTCATCCCTGGTGGCACTGATACCGCTTGAGGTGCAGCATCCCAGCCTCGGGGTCACACTCAGCTCCAGGCTGCTGAGAAGGCACTTCCCAAGATGGCACATGCAGCCAGGCCTTTTGTTCTTGTCACTGTGGGGCTGGGACTGGGGTGAGCCAGGTGCCCCATCACTTGCCATTTACAGTTGAGACGCGTGTGTGAGCCAGGGTGAGGAGACGCAGCCCTGTGCTACAGACTTGGCCCCTCAGCCAGGGGTGTGAACCCCTTCTTCTGCCACATTCCCCTCATCTGCCCTCCTGCTGCCATGCTGCAGCCCCGTAGGTAATCCTGTAGCTTTTGGAGCTTCATGCTGACCCACTAACACCCACCACCGTGGGGCTGGAACCCTGCCCTGTGTCCCACTGCGCTCTGCCCTGCTGGATTTGTGCCAAACTTCCTGTGAAGGAATCTGGGGGTTTGTGGGACGTGGGTCTTGCCCCATCCCTCCTCTCTCCTGTCACTAGTGATGAACGCAGCCTTAACATGGCAGGGTGAAGGAGGAGAAAGCAAGCCCAGGCATGATTTACCTGCGGCTTTCTGCTCTGAAGCCATTGAGGGTTGAATTATTATTTTTTTTTTTAATTATTATTCTGTTTTACATTCACAGTTTGAATAAAATCAGTCTGGCTTTAGCAGCTGCATTGGTGTCCAGGCAGTGCTGAGTGGGCAGCGAATGACTCCTGTGGTGTGGGTCGGGATTGGGGATGGGGTCCCCTATTACACCCAAATCCTATTGTCCTCTGAGGCTAAGCTGGGACTGGCAGGAGAGCGTCAGCATCGGCCCAGCAGTGCCCATTCACAGATGCTCCCACACAGCTTTGGGGTTACATTATCCCATGTGTAGGATTTTATTAACTATCCCGGTTAATTTTATTAACTCCTTACCCTGGCTACAGAGGGAAAAGCTGGAATAGCGAGGGGCGGTGGAGCAGAAGGGAATGGGCTTTGTCCCACTGCCCAGCCCAGGGGCGGTGCAGCCAGGGCTTCCAGTGCCGCTGGTGCTACAGCCCTCGCTCCTCGCCCAGTGTTTGCTGGCGCAGGGGGAAAGCCATCCCCTGCAGGGGCTTGTCGGCACCCAGTGCCATGTGGGGTCTGCTGCTCTGCGGGGGCTGCCTGCTGGCCACCAGCTACCTGGCAGGTGCTTTGGGCGGTTGCTCGCACCAGTGCTGCCCGGGCAGGAACAATGCCTGCTGGGCCCCAGGCACCCGTCGGGCTCGCTGCTACTGCGACTCGTACTGTGAGAGGACAGGCGACTGCTGTGAGGACTACCATGCTGCGTGCCACCGTGCCGGTGAGTGTTGGGATGGGATGGCACCAGCTGGACCCCGTGCTGAGGGGGAGCCCTGGGACTGGGGTTGCCAGCCTGGGCTGCTGCTTTTGGTGGCAGGTGTTTGCTATTATCTGTTAGCCCTGTACTTTTAGCAGTAACAGGATGCATCTGAGCATGCTGACTGGGCTGGATTTGGAGCAATATCCTGATTTTTCTGCTTTTTTCTGTGCTGAACATCTGGCTGCTCCCATTGCAATAAGAGAACCCACAGGGGTGGCCTCTGGTCTGCAGCTGATGGTAGCCCTGTCGTTGCAAGCCTAAATCGTCAGTGTGGGACCTGAGTGAGACGAGCCCCAGTATCACCCCTGCCACTGCTGTGGGCAGTGTCTTGCCTGGAACCAGGGAGTGCTCTGTGGGTGACAAAACAGGGAGCGTGGTCTTAGGGGGTGCAGAGCCAGCCCACCCTGGGGACCCAAACCCGGGATGGTGCTGGCCGCGGCCCCCATGACAATTGCAGCAGTCAGCCTTCCCTAATCTCTGGGGAGATTAGTGGGGTCCCAGCTCAGCGCGATGCGGAGCTATGGCAGTGGCGTAGGGACAAAGACCTGCGGAAGCAGTGCACAATGCCACTGCACTGGTGGGGCAGGGGAGAGGGGCTGACAGGGTCACTCTGACCCTTCTTTTTCTCCCCTTTCCCTGTGCTGCACCTCCTCTTCTCCTCCTTCCATCTTTCATGCCACTGAAGCTCTCTCTTCCTTCTCTGCTCCCCTGTCCTGCCAGCAGCGGTGGGCTGTGTGGTGGGGCCCTGGGGGCCGTGGAGTGGGTGCAGCTCCCTTTGTGGGGTTGGCAGTGAGGCCCGCAGCCGCCAGGTCACCGTCCCGCCCCGGCACGGAGGGGAGCCCTGTCCTGACCTCAAGCAGCGCCGCGGGTGCCTAGGAGAGCACCCAGTCTGTGGGGCAGCCAAAGGTAATGCAAGTCCCACGGGGACTGCCAACTCCCTCGAGCATGACCATCCCTGCTGCCTGTCCTGAGCTGTCTTTAACCATCCATGGCCCTGGCTGCTCTTCTGCCAGAAGTGGCCAAGATATTACCTGATTCCTTCAGTCGAGACTTCAGGGATCCCTGGCGGGGAGCCGGACAGCTACTGCCACAGGAGCCCTCTGGGTAGGTGTGGGGCTGGGGCCCCTCTGTACCCCCCACTTCCTGAAGCTGTGACCTCTCTGTACACACTCCCCTGCAGCTGTGGCCCCTTTGCAACCCTGAGAACCAAGGCCTCTTTGCACTCTCCAACCATTACCCTTCTCCTCCCCCCAGACCATGGCCCCTTTGCACCCCCCTAGAGCCAATACCCTTCTCCTCCACCCCAGCCTCATTTCCTC